CATTGAGTTTCATACAGTTGCCTACAAATTGAGTATGATTGCACTATTGTGTACAAACACGTATGATTACTGAATGACACAAAATGTACTTTTCATAAGTTATAAGATTAGATTTAGACAAATGTGTGAAAATACTTGTATCGGTATATTGTGTTACACGAGATGACTGTGCGGTATATTAGATGACAGCCTGGAATTCATGGAAAGTGTAATTTCAATCACAAGACTATTGTATGGATTTGAATCACGAGTTTATTTGAATACGGAATCAAATATACCGCTGAGTCCTGACTCAGGATTTCATATCAATTGATATGATATCAAATTATATATGAATTCTATTAATAAATAGTTAACCTAAACATATATTTTGTGCCCAAAATGATCTTCAAATTAGTACACACTGGGGGTATGACATGAACGCCGGAACCACATAAAGAGTTTGTGATAAATGAAAGTTCACATAACGTATACTTTTATATTGAACTCAATTAGTACTTTATGTCTTATCTACAACTTATGTGATTGAATATAAAGAATTTCTATACTCTTTATAATTATTTAGTTGTTTTGTAAGATTTGAAATATTTGATTTGATCTATTAATATATTCAAGTACTTTTGGTTCAAATCAGAGATTTCATAAAGAATTATTAATATCATAATACAATAAATATAAATAAAATAAGAATGCTAAAACTACACAAGAATCTAGATTATTCTTTATACAAAATAAAGGTTTCACAATACAGGTATATTTTAAAATTTTTATCTATAGTATATTCTGTATCATAGATTCACAAGAAATTCAAATCGCATTACGTTTCAAAAGTCAACATTTAATAAATCATGGTTTGAATATTTGATAGACAAAAATTTTCCATTGAGAAATAAAAAACAGCTCTTATGTCAAGCTAATAAAATTGTCAAATCTATCTAGAATGTTACTGAACGTTTTAGTTTATAATGGGTACAAACAATTTTAAATTATTTATTTAAAAATGTCATTTAATATTATCAAATCTGTCATTCAATTGCATATAAATTTAGATTTTAAATTCATATTTTGATAACATATCTAAAGATTGCGTTCACTTTCAAAACTAAATTTATTAATAAATTTTGCTAAAGTCTGGACTTTTAGTGTTGAGCTGAGAAAATGTATTCATTGCATACAAGTATTGCATTTATTTGTAATAAGCAATGATTTCATATAATATTTATAACAATCAATTGAATATTCAATGCCATCACATATTCATGAAATTAATGTACAGTAATTGAAATTTGAGAGAAAAGATTTGCTTGAATTTCAAATATATTGCTTTGTTTTTAGTTTTTTTTAACAATTCATAAATTATTTATAGCGTTTTAAAGCTCTAGTGTTACATAACTGTAAGCATTATTTTCTAAGTCCTAAGCCATCCCTAACCCAAAAACCAAGTGAAGCCAACAATTCAAAAGTGTGGGTAAAGTCTTACGTATTTATAAGATTATAACATGATTTGAATCTACTTTTATATAAAGTTATGTTTTATCTCTTCTTTATTCTCAAATGAGATGAATAGCTGAAGACATTGAATGGGAAAATAGATTCAAAATATTTCTCAATTCACAGATTTATATGATATGAGTCTTGTTTTGTCGACTCTTTGGAGTCATTACTTCTATTTCTATTCTCTTATTATATTTTCATTCACTTCGAGGTCTGTTATCCAGTGTTTTGGAGGACTCTCTCTCTCTCTCTCTCTCTCTCTCTCTCTCTATAATTAAATTTTTATTAAAACAATACATTATCGAAATTCTTGACTTTATTTTTGTTTTACAATTTATTTTATAGACAATAACAAAATACTAAATTTTATTAATTAGATACACTAACCAAGCATTTTAAGAAATTTGAATTCACGTCAATATTTTAATATTGATATTATTATTGTTGTTTACAGTATATTGTCATTAATATTAATTGCATTTATAGTTTTGAAATTAGACTTTTATTAAAATTAAAATTAAATAATTATTTAAAATAATTTCAAAACATAAAAATCAATTCTAAGTGATGTAGTTATGACAAAATTTGTGTAATAACTGTAAAATATGTGACACGATTGTAAGACCTTAATTTATTTAGAGATTAATTATTCATAAAACGTCTACATTTTTCTAATTTATAATTTTGTTTATTCTGTGAAAACAAAACTCCAGAATCACTGCAGTTATGAGCGCTTCATAAATATAGAAATAGTTCACAAAAATGAGAACCAATGCAGAGATCAATGACTTTTGTTTTAATGAGAATTATGTTTTAAATGAAAACACAATCATTGAATAAATTCAACAAATAGTTGACTGAACTCGTTATGAGTTTTTAATAAAAAAAAGTATGAGATTTCAAGCCTTGAGACGGAGTTTTCTGTAGAAATCTAATACTTGGATACATATGTATAACAAATAAGTGATTAAAAATAAATGGTGTTTTAAATAACAGATAAAAACATATTCCGATAGTAACTGATTGATTGTCTCGAAATATACTTTTACTTTAAAAAGAGTTTTACCAGACATTCAGATCTGATAATCAAATGAGTTGTCCAATAGTTTTAGGCTATACTGTAATAGTGTTGTAAAGATGATTAACTTGGAAACAGACCTACAAATTAAAAAAGTGATTGGACTTTAATTTTTAACTACTAATTGCAATCAAGCCATTTGTACTTCTTAACACTTATTTAAGTACTGTACCGGTGCTTACTATAACATTTTATATACAGTAGTTTAAATACTTTATAACATTTAGTGCATAAGTCCTAATTATCAAAAACATTTTTTATTTTCAAAATTATAACTTGCTTTAATTAATTTACTTTACTTATAAAAACAATATAAATTATAATTATAACAAAATAATTTTCATAAAGACCAAAACAATTGCCTAATAAGATAATTTTTTACACAAATGTTATTTTACTTTTATANGTTGAATAACATTTTTTGCTAATTTTACTTTTGTTTAGACATCATTTCATTGAGCTTTCCATTCACTGCAATGAATCATGTATTGAGTTAAGGATAAAATGTAAATCTTAACATTAAATTATTTAATTAATTCTACCGTATATTAAAACTATTACTAGTAATCAATAATTTATAATTTAATTTAATATTAATTTATTATTACAAAATATTTAATTTAAAATCTTATGAATTTAAATAACAATTTCTATGATATAAATACAAATAATTTATAAATTCTATTATAAAAATTAGCAAAATATTTAAATTGTGATTATAATCACTAAAGTGCTATGAAATCGATATCAAAATAAGAATTAATAAACAAAAACCAAAATTCGCACAAATATTTGAGAATCACTTGAAAGTTATAATAACATGAATAACGGGAATGTAATTGATATCAAAAAAAGTTAACACAAAAAGACTTTCAATAAATTAATTTCAAACATAAATAATACAAATAATAAAAATAACAAAAATATATTAAAATTGACAAAATATACACGACTTAGACATTGGGAACCAATCACACGGTCTGAAGATTACTATCAAATAAGACAAACTCGGGTTCAATGGTGTCCTGCATTTCAATGGCATAAATACTGGCGTGAAGTCCGATCACGAAGAAGGAGGCGCCGATCACCTAATGGATCAATCAAACAGTTAGTGGACACACATGACAGACACGGCAATGCATACCCAGAAGACTGCCTGTCCAGCGCCGGCCAAATAAAACAATGGAAACGATATGATCATCAAAAGGAGGTACTGTTGGCCTAACGAGAACTTCTTGCCGAAGAGTTTGAGCGGACTTTCGGCGTTCTTAAGCATCAGTATATAACTGAGTCCAGCGATGGCCGCGATGGCCAACAGGAGCAGAGGGCTCGTGAGGATGCAATAGATGACCA